AGGAACACTTCGACCCGTGCAGGATTACCACTGGTTGAATGCGATCACCGTCAAAAATCGCTATCCCCTGCCGCTGATCGCCGAGATGGTGGATAAGCTCCGCGGTGCCACGCTCTTCATGAAGTTCGACGTTAGATGGGGGTACAACAACATCCGGATCAAAGCCGGTGATGAGTGGAAGGCGGCCTTTATGACTAACCGGGGGCTGTACGAACCCCTGGTGATGTTCTTCGGTCTCACCAATTCCCCTGCAACTTTCCAGGCGATGATGAACGAGATCTTCCATGATCTTATCATCGGCGGCAAGATCCTCGTGTACCTGGATGACATACTCGTCTTCTCTACCAACAAGGAGGAGCATGAGAAGGTCACATGTGAGGTTCTGCGCCGCCTTCAGGACAATGATCTATTCCTGAAGCCTGAGAAGTGCAAATGGGACGTTCCCAAGGTCGACTATGTTGGCTATGTGTTCGGTGGCAATGAGGTAGCGATGGATTCCGCAAAGCTAAAAGGAATCAATGAGTGGCCAGTACCCCGGACCAAAAAAGATGTTCAGAAGTTCCGGGGGTTCTCCAATTTCTACCGCCGCTTCATCAAAGACTTCGCTAAGATCTCGCGACCACTCGACCGGCTCACAGGGAACGACCCATGGCGTTGGGGTGAAGAGAAGCAACATGCCTTCGATGAGCTCAAGTGGCTCTTTGCAATGACTCCAGTCTTGGCGCTATACGACCCTAACTGGGAGACGCGCATCGAAGTCGATGCCTCAGGGTACGCCACTGGCGGCGTGTTGATGCAGAAGCAGGATGACGGCAAATGGCATCCCATTGCCTTCAGATCCCATGCGATGGATCCAGCGCAGCGGAACTACAAAATCTACAATAAGGAGATGCTTGCGATCATTGAGGCACTAGACGATTGGCGCCACTATCTCGAGGGGTTACCCAATCAGTTCGAGATTGTAACCGATCATAAGAACCTCGAGTACTGGCGTACATCCCAGCACCTCACGCGCCGTCAAGCGCGATGGTCGCTGTTCCTAGCTCGCTTCGACTTCCGCATCACGCACAAGGCCGGGACGTCCAATGGAAAGGCTGATGCCCTGTCGCGTCGATCAAACCACCAGATCGGCGATGAGGACGATAACACCGATCAGGTGGTTCTCAAGCCGGAGCGCTTCCGCATTGCCTCCGCTAGGCGCGGTCACGCCTCGGTGACGGCCGATCAGTCGCTTCTGAAGCGCATCAGGGAATGTTCGGAGAAGGATCGGGAGGTGGCCGAGGCCCTTGAAAAGGTACAGGACCTCGGGCCGCCCCGGCTGCAAAGGGGTTTTGAGGAGTGGAATGCCGAACAAGGGCTCCTGCTGTTCCGCGGGTGCATGTACGTCCC